TGGCTACTCCCACATCTCCCTCACCCCGCCTTCACAACAGAGTCTATCAACCTCGCTTTAGACCCAGCCTCGCCTCGGCAACTGGGCTCAGGGAGACGGCTCCGCGAAGTTTTCCCAGCCCCACCAACATCACCGGCCCGCCGAAGAGGCTTTCTCGGACGACCCCCACGACGGATGGTCAGTTGCGGGTGGCGAACCCGCAGAGTCAGTATTTGCGTCAGCCGCACTCACCCGAGCAGACGCAAACCAGAAGGCGTTCACTCGACGCCTCGGACAACTTGTACCTGTCCCCATTGAAGACCTCCACAGAGATCGTGAATGCGTCCACACGCTGGACCAACAATGAAACGGAGGCCAAACAAGGCACAAGGTACTCGGAACGAGTTTCTCATGGACAGTGGCGACCCAGAAGCGCCTATGATCCGGTGAGTTTCGCATGTTCTGAGGCTTATTCATGTCAACATTTTATCATTTATCTCATTTCGTCAGTAAACCTTAAAAAATGACCCAATTGTGTCCAGTTCGCTAAAGGTGACTAAAGAACTGACAATAGAGTTCTCCCACAATGCCACGAGGGTTCACTTAACCTTGCCTCGAAAAAGTTCATCTCATCCAACCTCATCGGCCCAACGGGGTTCGAGCTAGAAATGTGGTTGTCATGGCCACGTTAATTGTCGATTAATTAACTAATTATTTTCGTAAATTGTTGACTAATAGTTTGTTATATTATGTATGTATGTATGTATTATTATTATATTTAATATATTTATTTTCCATTACAGTCGGCAAAGTTACTTGTTTTGGTATAAGTAAAGAAGTGCAGATTAATTAATTATCGAGTAACTATAAATGAGCTAGCATTTTAGGACATGTATTTGTCATTGCAATAAGCCAACTCATCTCATTGTTGGCAAGCTCAACTATTAATTCTTAATTCGCGTGAATTGGCCCAAGTTGATTGGGTTCTTATTTTAAAATGGCAATTAAAATGCGGACTGAAAGGATTCATCCACTTTCATAAGTTTACTCAAAATTGCTTTTAATCCTATTCTTGAGAATCGGTGACAATAATATTTTTCCAGATATACGACACTTTGAGAAAACACTATTTTACATTGAAGCGATTTAACTGGACTTTTGGTACTTGTATACAAATAAAAACTAGGCTTTGATGAAGATTTGAGATAATATTATTGTAGGAGGCTTTCATTTTGACTTTCATGTGGAAATAAAATCTCCACAATAGCGACTTTTTTTGAGCAGAACAAGATGACTAGTGAGACCGTCTGGATGCCTGGCGTGCCCTGAACTTCGCCTTCTAGAAGGTTTTTTACTCAGATCAAAGAGTCTCAACATCAGGGGTCATACAGAGATACCAAAATTCAACAAATTTACCCAAAAATTCTTCTTCTTCTTAGATTCCAACTTGGTCGACTTATGCATCTCAAGTTTTGGTTGCCTCTATATTTGCTCA